TATAAAGAGAAACAAAAATGAATCTTGATGTGAATGGAAGGGGAGAGGGAGTGGGAAAGGGGAGGGTTGCGGGTGGGAGGGACGTTATGGGGGGGAAGCCATTGTAATCCACAAGCTGTACTTTGGAAATTTATATTCATTAAATAAAAGTTTAAAAAAATATAAAGATAATTTTCAAAAATGGGAGAAAATATTTGCAAACCACACATATAATAAGGATTAATATCCACGATACATAAGAAACTCAAATATCTCAGTAGTAAGAAAATAAAATGACCAGTTTAAAATTGGTTAAAAAACCTTAATGCATATTTCTTTAAGCAAAAAGAGACAGAAAAGGTGTACAGGTAGATGAAGAGGTGCTCAACCTTAATCCTTAGGAAAACACAAAGTCAGAATGTGATATCATTTCAAGCCTATTATCAAAAAGATGAAAGATAAGCATTGGTAAGAATGAGGAGACTGGTTGATGGCAATTCAAATTAATATAGGTTCCATAGAAAATACTATGATGGTCCCTGAAAAAAATCTCAACTAGAACATCCCTGTGTTCATAAGAGCATGTTACCATGTGCACAACAGCCAAGCTATGGAATCAACCTAAATCTTCATCAACAGAGCAGTAGACAAAGACACCGCACTGGAATGCTATTACGCCTTTTAAAAAGAAGTAAATCATGGCAATTGTGAAAGCATGGATGAACAGCAGGATATTATGTTAAGTGAAATAAACTGGCCAGAGAAAGACAAATACTTCATGATATCCCTTATATGTAGAATCTTTAAAAAGTCAAACTCATGGAAGCAGACTAGAATGGTGGCTACCTGGGGTTGGGATGGGGACTGGGAGGATTGAAGAAATGCTAATCAAAGGATACGAATGAGTTCAAGAAAGAATGAGGAAGAATGAGTTCAAGAAATCTATTGCATAACATGATTGCTATGATTAATAACAATTTACCAAAAAAAGTTCAAAATAGAAAATAATTGTATATCATATACTTTAAAAATGGTAATCTTTTTTTTTTTCAGGCAGAGTTAGACAGTGAGAGAAAGAGACAGAGAGAAAGGTCTTCCTTCTGTTGGTTCACCCCCCAAATGGCCTCTACAGCCGGTGCGTTGCTCCGATCCGAAGCCAGGAGCCAGGTGCTTCTCCTGGTCTCCCATGCAGGTGCAGTGCCCAAGCATTTGGGCCATCCTCCACTGCCTTCCTGAGCCACAGCAGAAAGCTGGACTGGAGGAGGAGCATCCGGGACAGAATGTGGCACCGCAACCGGGACTAGAACCCGAGGAGGCGGAGGATTAGTCAAGTGAGCCGCAGCGCCAGCCAAAAATGGTAATCTTGTAGAAGTTAAAACTATAATGGTAGTTAGCAGAAACTGGAGCAGGGAAAGGAGATGGAGGGGGAAAGATTGATTAATGGGAACTAAGTTATAGCTAGAATGGAATAAGAAGTTCTGATATTTTGTTGTACAGTAAGATGACTAAAGATACAGGCCTGTATATTTCCCTACACAAAGAAAATAGCTACCAGATAGGATTTTGGGTGTTTTTACCATATAGAAATGTTAAGTGATAATTTAGATATATTTACCCCGATTGGACAATACACAATGCATACATGATGTACACATGTATTGAAACATCACACATGGTACTACACAAATAAAATTAAAAACAAAATCACTAAGAGTAGATTTTAAGTGTTGACACAAGAAATATCTAAGAATGTGAAGAAAGTGTATGTGAATTATCTTAATTCAGTCATTATACAGTGTACACTTTTCAAAATAATTTCATACATAATAAATTATTTTAAAAAGATAAATATTCTTAAAGCATGTTGGATAACAAGAAAACAGAGATTGAGATCCAGTATTTTTCACTCTTCCACGCTGAGTAATAGTGGCTCTTTTCTGTCTTTCCACATTTCTTCCACTTGATTGCTGCTATCCCCTAACTCACCTTCAATCCTGAAAAATGGTTGTCATTTTATGCTGTCATGGAGAGCACAAAGTACACCTGTGGTTTAAAAATCCAATCTACTGAATGAAAGACATGAAAGTGATTTCAAGAAGAGACAACCTATTTAATGAAAAGAGCATAGGCTTTCAAATCAAGCGCTGCCTCAGCCATCTGTTTTTGTGACGATTTACAGGTGACTTAACCTTTCCAAATCTCACTTTTCTCTTACACTAAAACAGAATAACACTTACCTTAATAGTTAGTTTTAAGCAATAAATGAGATATTTTATACAAGTGGGGTGTGTAGAACGCAACAGGTTGCCAATAAATGGTGGTGCCTCCGCTGTTGTTGACGTCACCAACAGAGAGAGACACACATGCAAAACTGGTAATCCTGAGCTTCAGAATGGGATCTCATTCATGTTTTTAATGTGATTTAATATTCTCCATCAAAATGAAAGAATATACAACTTGTTTTTTTACTTTAAGTGGAAAATACTAATGACCAACAAAAATATCTATACAACATGTATTAGTCAATACTATAGCTTTTTAAATCCCTAAGAGAGGAGAGGCATTTGTTGCAGCAGTTAGGATGCTTCTTGTGATATCCACATCACATATCAGATGACCAGGGTTCCAGTTCCAGTTCTGCTTCCAAATACAGCTTTCTACAGGTGACAGCTCAAGCGCTTGGGTCCTTGTCATTCATGTGGGACATGGTGATTGAGAACCAGGCTCCTGACTTCAGCCTGGAATCTGGGGAGTGAGCCAGGAGATGGATGATCCCTACCTCTGTGTTTGTCTATCTGTCTCTCTGCCTTTCAAATGAAAATAAATAAATAAAATTTCTTTTTAAAAGTTCCCTAAAAATTAACTGTTTCAAATATCTGGAACAAAGCCCAAAGTAGTGGAGCAAGGATGCAACTGTTACACAATGCTGTGTGCGTGTTCTGGCTTGTCTTTCAGTAATCTGTCCTATTAAATTATTTGTTTCCCTGACACCTATAATGAAGCTGTGTTCATGATCAGCTTAATCATAGGATGTAGTGTAGTACATATTTTGACAGGAAAGCTGTTTATATCAATTGAAACAAGTAGCAAGTATATAATTTCATAAAATGTTCATTATCCACTCAGTTTGACAATCCTAGGCTTGAATAGTTTTATGTAGTCATATTTGAAATATTATTTTGCATACTATTTATTTTAAAGCAAAGAAGATTCTTTTTAAGCAAAATCCATGATAAGAAATTGGATAAGTGATCAATCACAAGATAGTAAACTCTGAATTATATACTTTATCTGGAAATCACTAAATTTTAGTGAAATCAAACATCTCTAGCTAAATCATTAAAATTGATTCTACTTATAAGCACATGAAAATAAACAGGAAAGAACTGAATTAACTGAAGTCATCCATAAGTAATATTTTTCCTAGAATTATGGTAACAAGTGCTAAGTTTGGCTTCTAGCTAATTATTTAACCACTCAACTGGTGGCTCAATAATCATGCCTCATATGAACATATTAATAGACTGTTATTTATTTTCATTCTTTATTTGAATGGCAGAGAGAGACAGATATATTCCACCCATAGGTCTACTCTACAAATGTCTTCCATGGCCAGGAATAGGCCAGGCCAAACCTGGAGCCAGGAATTCCATCCATATCTCCCATGTAGATGGCAAGGACCCAAGTACCTAATTATTTCCTGCTGCCTCCCAGGGTGGGGCTAGGATATAGAATGAAGACATTCCAAGCACATCTTACTGCTGTACAAAATGCCCACCCTCCCCAGAGACTTCAAGTGCAGTCATGACATCTGCCTGTGTTCTCAGATCTCCACTCTAATTAGGAATGAGACTTACATCACTCTCATGACCTTCCCGGAGGTTGTACGTGAGGTCGTGCTGGATGTCTTCCACAAATTTGTGAGCATATTCTGGGTAAAGGTCGAGCACTTCAAAGAGTCCTTTGAGGATGATGCACTGCAGATCACAGTAGGTTAAAGCCTTTACATCTGCATTGGTCTTGATCACTTGGTCCTTAATTGATAAATTGGCTCCAATTAAGTCCCCTTTCCCTAAAAAACATTTTAAAAAGACACACAATTTTTAAAGAAAAGAAAAGCAAGGTTGGGACTGGTTACTTCCTTTGACTTCAGGCCTTCCTTTCTCTGAGATTACACTGAAAAGAGAGGAGGAACCTTTATTTTGCACAAGGCAGTAGTGAATTGTGGGGTTCAACAATTCTATTCAGGGCAGTAGCCAGGAGGGCTTTCAGTGCAGAGAGAATGTGTAGCAGCGTCTTGCATCCCTCTCCCCAATTAGGACAACCCATAGTATCTTCAGACACTGTCACAGGTCCCCTCAACACTATTCCTGGTTGAGAACATTCATGAGAGGACAAAGCCGGGAGCCTCAGGGCTAGGAATTGTAGGTTAGAGATGGGCTCCAGATGGACTCCTCACAGGACTCAGTAAATGGATTCTGACAAATCAATGGATTTTTTTATAATTGCCTTAATCACTCAAGGGAAATAATAATGGCTCAGATTTTTCTGAGAGGGAAAATGGCTCTGTGCTTCCGAGGTAAATCATTTGTCTCTGACACATCTCTGAGGTAAATCATTTTTCTCTCATCATCAAGAACTATGTGAATTATTTTGATTTGGCACTTTGAACAATAGCACAAGCACACACTGTCAAGCTTGCTAACATAATCAGTTCTTTTATTTACCTCTAATCATGTTCACAAGACAGGAAGGTGACATGGGAGGAGGAGCCCCCCTTCCCTCATTGAGTGAATTTGGGGAGGTAGGGGAAGATGTTCGACATTATGGACCATGAATTTATTACAGAAAATATACAACACAACTCACCGCTGAAATGCCCTGTGACATTGTAAAACCTCCATTTTCTCCATCAAAGTAGCAAGTGAATAAATAAGCACTCTGAGGTCCTCACTTGTGACACTAGACTCAAACTCTGTTTCCCATCCCACCTCCAGCTCCCCATGATTTATTTTTGTCTGTAATGCTTCTGCCTCACAGTTTTAGGTTGTACTTCACCTGTTTCAGAACAAGTTTGCTGGTCAGATAATATTGGGCAATTTAATGAGTTCAAATTAACAGGAGAGTGAGCATAACTGAAAGTGCTAATATGAAGATGACTCAGACTTTGGATTTCTTTTTGTCACAGTCATTAATTCAGCAGCCATGGGAAACTTATAACAATTTAATTCATTTTTAAAGATTATTTTATTTATTTGAAAGGCAGAGTGACAGAGAAAGAGAGGGAGAGACATAAAGGGGTGGTCTATTTGCTGGCTCACTCCCCAAATGGCTGCAAGGGTCAGGGCTGGGTCAGGTCAAAGCCAGGAGCACAGAGTTGCATCCTTGTCTCCCGCATGGATGGCAGAGGTCCATGTACTTGGGTCATCACCTGCTACCTTTCCAGGTGTATTAGTAGGGAGTTGGATCAGAAACAGAGCAACCAGGTCTAGAACCAGTGCTTGGATAGGGGATGCCAGTGATGCAGGCGATTACTTAATAAGTCACACCACAAAGCTAGCACCTAGAATAACCTCAGTGCTGTCAGACTTTCATACTTTGTGTTTCCAATGGCATGGCTATTTCAGTGACAATGATACTAGCCATGAAAATAGCACCAACATCTTGCCAAACTTGGCATCTAGAATGAATTCCAGTTTATGTATTCACTCAATGAATACTTGCGGAACACTCCCTATGTGTTGGCCTTGTGTGGAGCCCTGGCAAGCAGACACTGCAAATTACAACATGCTGCTCACTCTCACTGATTTTACTCTTGTAGGTTTCTCACTGTCTACATTTAGGACCTTGAGTTAGGTTTCCCAACTGAATCTCAGCAACCTTACTTCTAAAAGAAGTGACAAATCCCATGACCCTTTACGGTCACCATTTTTCAAAACTGTACTGTTGATCTTTACTAGTCAGTTATTTTTCCACTGTGGGGAAAAAAGTTAAGGGATGCATCTATAAAACTCCATGTTAGAGCTATATAATGTGTTTAATTATTTGACAGACGGATCCTATCTGTCAAAGTGCATTTGTTCATGCTTTGTCATGTTCTTAAAGCAATTAGGATAAAATTGGTGGAGACAACACAAAAACACAGATGTAAAACTAAGATGTACAAGGCAAACAAATTCTATCCCTATAAAAATTCCTACCTCTATGACATCTCCAGTTATCACATTAAGAAACATCTTCACGTATTGACAGGACAACATAGTTACTTGAATAAGTTAGTAGTTTGACAGTTGTTTGATGACACTTCTTCTTCACTGTATAATAATTCAATTCATTGGCAGAGAACATATATTAAATATCTATAGATCAAATGTGAAGCCATGTGCTTAAATTTATCATTGTCAGAATGGATTTCAATTAGCCCCGAATGACAATATCACCATGGGAGAAATAAAATAGTTTATCTTATTAATGAATAAGAGAAAATATTAATAATTTACTATCTCTAGTTGGATTTAGTCTCAGTGCCACATACCAGAGTTTACAATGGTCATATGGCAATTTGTATGTAAATTACTTTCAATATATACACAATAGAAGCAAAAACATAAAAATGTTAATCATGGAAATTTATGGAGGAAGTTGGGGGCTACATGCAGAAAGCAATGCATTAAATCTTTCATCTGTTAGTAGATTTTTAAAAATAACAAGAAAATCCAATTGAATCATGTTCTATAAGCAATGGCAGTTACAGAGAAGTCAGTAAGCTTAACTTTTATGATCCAATGTCATGGATGATGTTTTCATATTCCATTTCTAAAGTCCTTGCTAGTCGCAAACTTTAAAAATCCACCACAACCATGGGACACAATCCACATTACATTAATTTAAAATTTATGTGTTATTTTGTTTTCATGTATATTAAGCCACAAGGTTCTGAAAAAAGGGCTAAATGTTCTGTTAAAAGTGGGTGTTGGAGCCAGCATTATGGCTCAGCAGACTAAGCCACCACTTGGCATCACCAGCATCTCATATGAGCGCAAGTTCAAATCTGGCTGTTCCACTTCCAATCCAGCTCCCTGCAAGTACCTGGGTCCCTGCCACCCACCTAGGGGACCTGGATGGAACTTCAGGCTCCTGGCTTTGGTCTGGCCCAGCCTCAGCTGTTGCAGCTATTTGGTGAGTGAATCAGTGGCTGGAAGATCTCTCTTGCTTTGTATATATATATGTGTGTATGTATATATATATATGTGTGTGTGTGTGTATGTATATATATATATATGTATATACCTGCCTTTCAAAAAAAATTTTTTTAAAAAAAGTAGGTTGTTTCAACAGGCAGACTATAAAACTTATAGTGGTACTAAAGAAACCTGCAGAAAAATATTTTCTGATCAAAGTTGTTTTGTGACAAATCAGGAATAATTGTCAATTCTAATTTAGAATAATAAATTATAGGATCTCTGGTCTTTAACATCACAAAGTTAAGAAAAAAGGCAGGAGTATTAAATTCTATGCATATAAGGAAACACACATGCTCGGACACACACTAGAAGCCTTATTCTAATATTGACAATGACCTGAGCAAGTTGACAGTAAACTCTTAGTTTCTATCCCATGCCTTTCTATTAAGAATAACATAAGTGGTAAGTGAAGAACAGAGTTAAAACTTCGAAAGGCAGGCCCTGCATTTCATATGTTAGTGGTAAATGGAAGACGACACTCAGCTACAAAAGTCACATGACGCTTTCCCCACTCAGTGACTCCATCTTGTCACCATTAAGGAAGCACAATCTTACGACTCTTAGACAATCGCTAGTCTAGTAGAGTTGCTGTAACAAAATGCTATAAACTAGGTCATTTATACACAATGAAAAATGGTTTCTCACAGTTCTGGAGGCAGGAAAGATAAAGGCTCTGTCATATTCAGTGTCTGGTGAGGGCCCCTATCATTTCGATAGGGGCTTCTTGCTGTGCCCTCTTGGGTGGAAAGGGCGTGGCAGCCCTCTGGGGCCTCTTTTAAAAGGACACCTCCATCATCCAATCATCTCCCAAGACCCCACCTCCTACACCATCACACTGGTGATGAGGTTTCAACAGATGAATTTTGAGATGACCCAAACTTTCAAAGTTTAACACACAAGCACACACACACACAGATGCACTTAACTAGGTTGCAAGATTCCAATTGGATAATGGACAAAAAGCACCCTGTTCATATTAGGGATTTATTAAATGTTAATTCTCTTTTCTCTTTCAAATTATAATCTGTGCAAAAGCTTACCAGCCAGATCCCAGTGGTACCAGGACTGCAACGACTTTCTGACTTTCTAGAATGGTAGGTATTGGTTAGATGTAGAAGGAGCAATGATGTAGTGTTCAAGATTCAGGTCAGCTCTGACTTGGGCAAATGGAGAAAATACTTCCCTCTCTGTCTCTGAGCTGTGAAGGCATGCATGAGGCTGTATGCATAAAAATACTTTGCAAGTAGTTGTTTACATATATCATCTTCACAGAAAAATAAAAATATAAAGTACTGAATTAGCTTCTTCTTATTAATACAAATTAAAATGATATTGGTGTTCAAAACATATGCTGAATTCATTACTGCTCCTACCATGGCCTATGCCCCATTGCCTTCTTCACTTCAGTATGATTTTTTTCTTTCCTGCTGCATTTTCAATATTTAAGACCAGTGCTGATCACTCATAGACCATTAATAATTATTATCAAATAAACAAACAATAGAGAAGTTTCTAAAAGATATTTCCAAAAAGTGAATAATTTTCCTTCATTAACTTCCTGTGCGACCTTTTGTCAGCTGCCATGGATCTCTCAGTGAAGACTAAAATGTGTTTCTATTTAACGTCAACTTTGTGGTATAGACTTTTCACCAGTTGTGGAAATAAAAAGAACCTACAGTCATTTTGAGAGTGTTAAGTTAGTCATGGCTATGGGAGCTTATTTTTGAAGCATTATCATTTTTGTTCTATTTCTAGCACAGATAAAACTTAATTTTTGTGTCCTTTGATTTGATTCTCCATAAAAATAGAGAAATTTCTTCTTAAAACAGAACAGTTATTTCACCAGGAGGCAGTATACGTTGTGATTAATCATTTAGCTTTAGGAAATCAGTAAAAGTCAAGTTAATTTTCTTACTATGTAATTGGGACAAGTCAACTAAGGTGCTAGTATTCTTTTGTAAATTGAGGATAATATGCCATTGGAGACTTCACAAGAATCAAATGACATGTTGAATATAAGTGGCAAATTAAACCCAATGAAGAATAATACCCGGAGCCAACATTTCTATCTGTAATTTTCCTACTCTTACTATCAAGCTTTTTCTCCACATTTTATCTCCTTAATTCATGCTTCAGAGTGAAATTTCACAGAAACTTTTCCACTCAGACTTACCAAGAATTGCCAGCACCATGCTGTCTTTGAGGACTTCCATGGAGCCTGAACATACAAAGTAGATGGCCTGCAAGGCATCCCCTTGGCGTAGTAGATATTCCCCTGGTGCACAGAAGGAGGTTTTGATGTGCAGAGACAGAGACCTGAGGCAGCCCCGGCTGGCACACTCAAAAAGGGACAACTGTAGGATCTCCTTGTTCAAGTGCATGGTGATGTCAGAACGTAGCTCATCTGGAAAATCTTTCAAAAGCTGTCAGGGAAGATGAAATGAGAAGTCAAATGGGAGTAAATATAGTTTAACTGATTTACTTCAGAAGACAACAGGGATGATCCCCTTTGGTGTGGGCAAAGAGGGTAAGAAAGAGGACATCTATGTATGTATATTCCCAAAGAAATTTTTCAGTGACAGATTTTCATTTTATGCTGATGAATAATCAGTGCTGATAAGTCTAGGGCAATTGAACAAATTAATAAAGTACTCTGGAATTGGAAAAGAAAACTCATTGTAACTTGCTTCTCAGAAAGACTCTAACTCAAGACTGAATATATGGAATTTGGACTCACTGGTGTTTCCTTTTGAATCAGGATCATACAAAGAGAGCAGAAATCAATCACACTAAAAACATTGGTTATAAAACAGGCATTCAGCCTAATTGTTAAGACTCCTGTGTTCCATCAGAGTGCCTGGATTCAATTCTCGACGGTTTCCAATTCCAGCTTTCTGCTAATGTAGACTCCAGGAAGCCAAGGTGATGGCTCAAGTAATTGGGTCCTACCATTCATGTGGTGAACCTGGATTGAGTTCATGGCTTTTAGGATTGGCTCCCGTCATTGGCCATTTTGGCCATCTGGGGAGTGAATCGGGATAGAATCAATCTCTCTCTGTCTCTCTCCTTCCCTCTACCATCTCCCAAATAAATACACACATTGGTTATTGGTTTGGCTGGTGAGTTGTTGTAATGTTGGTTAATTTGTATGAGGCCTCTTTCACAGTGGTGCTGTAGGGTGTTCAGGATATTAGCAGGTAACATCTTTGCTGGAAAATGTTTTAAGTTTAATTTTATCAACTTTAAAAGACACAGTTACCTCGATTCATCCAAGATTACATCCTTAAAGTATCATTAGAATTGGTTACATTCTAAAGGGGCAATGAGAATGAAAACAAATCCACCTGCCCTACTAAGGTAGACGATTAATGTAAAACATTGTTCAAACCAAAGTGTTGTAAAACACAAACCAAAGCAGATAAAAAAAGATGGGCTGGGTTTCCCAAGAGATGTAAAAATAATCAGGTAAAGAAGCTGGTAGGTATGTTTTTCACTTCTGATACCTATATTAGAGCAACTTGCTTTTACCTTAGAATATGTGCTTTCTGCCTGAAATCATCAATAGGAGAAGTGAACATTACCTCATTTGAATCTATGCCATTGTTGACTGACCAGGTGGTTTGGAAATACTCAAGCATCCTCTGCTTGAGCTGCTGGGGCAAGTGATGGACACGGATGAAGTCCTTCAGATCCTTAGTTCTGGTGTGATAGAGAGACCACCTGGAATACATCCTCTGAATGATCGCCGTGACATTACCGAACACCAGGGCATGCATCAGGGCTGGAGAGAACAGCACAGAACAGAACAGGAGGGAAATAAGAGGGAGGCTTTTTCCTCAACTCTCAATGCATAGTCTGTAAACATTGAATCAGAATAAAGCAAGCTTACGTGGCCACATGGATATGGCTATTTGGGGGTAGTCAATTTATCACAGTGTACTTCCTACAGGAGTCATTTGAATTCAACATTGCCTGATCACAGTAAAAAATATATTTAAAAAAAGACTCAATAAGGAGGTGGACGCCTGGCCGAGTGCTCCAGCTGCTGGTTGCAATGCTCACGTCCCATGTCAGTGTGCCCGGACTTGAGGCCCAGCCCTATGCCTGACTTCTATTAATGAGCAGCCTGGGAGGCAACAGTGATGGCTGAAGTGATTGATTCCCTGCTACCCATAGGGCACAGCCAGGTGGAGTTCCAAGCTCCTAGCTTTGGCCCCAGCCCAGAGTCAGTCACTGTGAGAATTTGGGAAGTAAACCAGTGGATTTGAGGTCTCTCTCTCTCTTTCTGTGTGTGTGTGTGTGTGCCTATCAAATTAAAAGAAAAAGAAACAAACTCAACAACAGACAATATAGGTCTCTTTGTCTGACACTGAATTTGTTGGCTGTATTTCTGGCTATGACAAACTTTTATTTTGCACTCTATTCTCATCCATATTGTTTAAATAATCATGTACAATTAAATAGCTGTAATAAGACAGTTTTTCACAGTTTGATAGAATAAGCTACAAAGTTTAAAAGTAATTATTTTATTGTAATAATAATTTTTTAAAAAAATATTTATTTATTTTGAAGGTCAGAGTTATGAGGACAGCGCTGTGGCATAATAGGCTAAGCCTCTGCCTGTGGCGTCGACATCCCATATAGGTGCCAATTTGTGTCCCTACTGCTCCTCTTCCAATACAGCTCTCTTTTAATGGCCTGGGAAGGCAGTAGATATGGCCCAAGTGCTTGGGCTACTGCACCAATGTGGGCTTTGGATCAGCCCATCTCCAGCTGTTGTGGCCATTTGGGGTATGAACCAGCAGATGGAAGACCTCTCTCTCTCTCTCTCTGTCTTTCCCTCTCTCTATCTATAACTCTCTCTTCCTCTCAAATAAATAAATGATTATTTTAAAAAACATCAGATTTACAGAGGGAGAGTGAGAGGGAGAGACAAAGAGAGAAATTTTCCACTTGTTGGTTTACTGCTCAAACGGCTGCAAACAGCCAGGGCTGTGAAAGGCCTAAGCCTGGAGCCAAGAGCTTCATCTGGGTAGGGGCCCAAACACTTGGGCCATATTCTGCTACTTTCCCAGGCCATTAACAGAAAGCTAGATTGGAAATCAAGCATTTGGGACAGGAACTGTAACCCATATGGGATTATGGGATGCCTATGTCACAGGGGGCAGTTTTACCTTTGTAATGTCAGCCCCGCAACTAACTTTCTAAAAATCACACTACTGCAACAGGCTAGCCCTTGTCAGAATTTTAGTGAGATCCCCCCAAAAACCATTATTTAAAATTAGTTTTAGAATATTAAATATAGGGCCGGTGCCGTGGCTCACTTGGTTAATCCTCCGCCTGCGGTGCCGGCATCCCATATGGGTGCCGGTTCTAGTCCGCATTGCTCCTCTTCCAATCCAGCTCTCTGCTGTGGCCCGGGAGGGCAGTGGAGAATGGTCCAAGTGCTTGGGTGCCTGCACCCACATGGGAGACCAGGAGGAAGCACCTGGCTCCTGGCTTCAGATCAGCACAGTGCGCTGGCCATGGCGGCCATTTGGGGGGTGAACCAACGAAAGGAAGACCTTTCTCTGTCTCTCTCTCAATGTCTAACTCTATCTGTCAAATAAAAAAGAATATTAAATATAATACATCTGTATTGATACCAGTATTGAGGAAATTGTTAGCAATGCCACTGAGCATTTTTTCGGCATTCTGAGGCTGACATTAACATAATTTCTATACCCCGCTTCACCTCTGCTTTGAAGTCACTGTAATTTTAAGGAAGACAACAGAAAATTTGAGTCCATTCAAGAAACAAGGAAATTTCAGAGAAAAACAGATATTCTATTTAGAGTCATTGTTGCCACCCTGACAAATACCAGTATGCTTCACACCTATGAGCCTCTTATTTCAATGACATTTGTCAAAAAGATTTAATCTTCACTGCCTTACAGAGCCTCTTGTCTGAAACTATCACCAAAGTTTCATGGCTCTGAGGGTGGATGGGGATGGAAGATGGGTTTTATTTTGGAGAAAAGTATGGCAGAAGGTTTGACCTCACTTTCCAGGATCATACTTTGGGGAGTAGCTGGGTATCTAGAAGCAGAGAAGGCATGACAAGATTTTGTGCTCAACAGTTATTAGAAGGGAAATGGAATGGACTATGCGGATGTCTCAGGAAGGTCCTGGACTAACATGGGGCTGTGACATTGAAAGATGGATGAGAGTCCAGTGTCGTGACATCTATGGGTGAGTCAACTCTAAACCTTGATCCCCATCCTGGAGCAGGATTTGAGAATAGGGTAAGGAGCACAGGACTGGGTAAAAATAATCTGTTTTCATAGTTTCTAGTTAAAATAAAGACTAAAAATTTAGTGGTTTGTCTATTAGAATTACACATCCCTGTATCAAAATCTTGATGACTGAGGAGCAGTGTTAGAAGTTTCTTAGCTTGAAGACACATACATTAGAGCAAATGTGTCCACATGTTATTATGTCTACTTCAGAACATTTCCAGTGCACATTCTTTTTTCCTCTACCTTAATCAGAAATTACCAAACACTGACATGCTTATTTCATTCTAATTTAACATTGGAATAAGAATTCTTTACAAGGTTGTATATCATTATTTCTCTATGGAATAATGGTTACCCTGTGTGAAAGGACATCTCTCTCTCTCTCTCTCTCTCTCTCTCTCTCTTTTAAAGGTTTTACTTATTTACTTGAAAGGCAGAATTAGAGAGAGAGAAGAAGAAGAGGAAGAAAAGAGAGAGAGATCTTCCATCTGGGGGGTCACTCCCAGGTGGCCACAACAGCTACTGACGGATCAGGCCCAAACTAGGAGTAGGAGCTTTATCTGTATGTCTCATGTGGGTAGCAGGGACCAAACACCTGGGCCATCTCCTGTTGTATTTCCCTGGCCATTAGCAGGAAGCTGAATTGGGAGTGGAGCATCCAGGACACAAACCGGCTAAACTGTGGCCCTGGCCTCTAAAAGACGAAACTAGCCTTCAGTATCTCAGAAAACTGCCAAAAAATAAGGTTAATCTTAGGTCTATAAAGAGGAGGCAGCCGGCGCTGCGACTCACTAGGCTAATCCTCTGCCTGCGGCGCCGCATACTGGGTTCTAGTCCTGGTCGGGGCGCCAGATTCTGCCCCGGTTGCCCCTCTTCCAGTCCAGCTCTCTGTTGGGGCCCGGGAGTGCAGTGGACGATGGCGCAAGTGCTTGGGCCCTGCACCCCATGGGAGACCAGGAGAAGCACCTGGCTCCTGGCTTGGATCAGCACAGTGTGCCGGCTGCAGCGCGCCGGCTGCAGCAGCCATTGGAGGGTGAACCAACGACAAAGGAAGACCTTTCTCTCTGTCTCTCTCTCACTGTCCACTCTGCCTGTAAAAAAAAAAAAAAAAAAAGGAGGCAATGTAATGTTGCAGAGAGAATATGGATTTTTTTAATTTTTTTTTTAATTTTTTGACAGGCAGAGTGGACAGTGAGAGAGAGAGAGAGAGAGAGAGAGAGAGAGAGAGAAAGGTCTTCCTTTTGCCATTGGTTCACCCTCCAATGGCCGCCATGGCCGGCGTGCTGCGGCCAGCGCACCACGCTGATCCGATGGCAGGAGCCAGGTGCTTTTCCTGGTCTCCCATGGGGTGCAGGGCCCAAGCACCTGGGCCATCCTCCACTGCACTTCCCTGGCCACAGCAGAGGGCTGGCTTGGAAGAGGGGCAACCGGGACAGAATCCGGCGCCCCAGCCGGGACTAGAACCTGGTGTGCCGGCTCCGCAAGGCGGAGGATTAGCCCAGTGAGCCACGGCGCCGGCCAGAATATGGATTTAAGATCAGACAGATCTGGATTTGAAACTTAGATTTGTCTTTTCCTAATTCTGTGAAGGTGGCAAGTTACATAGTTTTCCAGCATGAACTCATGTTCATGTTAACTTACAGTACCTTCGTCGTAAGTCTACATTGAGATTTAAAGATATAGATATATTATATAAACATATATAGTAAATAAATATATAATGTATAACACACATATGTGTATTTCAAAAAGTTTCTAATTATATGTATAAAAATAGTGGGTGTTCAATTCATGTTAATTTTCCCCATAAGCATGAAAAATGGTAGCATGAATGGTGAGCATGCTCAGTGGAGATTGGGATCTTGGTCTAAGATTTTTACTGCAAACTTTTAAATAGATAGGAATGCTTTTTTGGTGAAAAAAAAATTCCTGATGAAAGAAATTCAAGAAATACTCAATAAGTACTCACTATTTTTGCAAGGGCATGCAAGAATATAGTATTTATAAACGTTTAAAAATGAAAGGTCGGCTGGCGCCACGGTTCAATAGGCTAATCCTCCGCCTTGCGGCACCGGCACACCAGGTTCTAGTCCCTTTCGGGGCGCCGGATTCTGTCCCGGTTGCCCCTCTTCCAGGCCAGCTCTCTGCTGTGGCCAGGGAGTGCAGTGGAGGATGGCCCAAGTGCTTGGGCCCTGCACCCCATGGGAGACCAGGAGAAGCACCTGGCTCCTGCCATCGGATCAGCGCGGTGCGCCGGCCACAGTGCGCCGGCTGCAGCAGCCATTGGAGGGTGAACCAACGGTAAAGGAAGACCTTTCTCTCTTTCTTTCTTTCTCACTGTCCACTCTGCCTGTCAAAAAAAAAAAAAAAAAAAAAAAAAAAAGCATGAACTGTCTCCCTGTCTCCCAACAGGTAAAAAAAAAACTCTAGAAAATTGTATATTGCATAATAACTCAGAGGTTCAGAGGTTTATCTTTTTGTATGGTTTTAAAAGAACAATTAT